TGAAACCTAAACTGGTGGGTAGTGAGCCCATTTGCAATATCGTTGAAACTCCACGTCTTCGTTGGAATTATGAATGAAATCAACGATTTGAATGAATATCAATAAAGAAACCCGCAAGAGCGTGACGCCTTAGTGGAAATCCGCAAGATTGCAAACCCCCCAAAAGGTGAATTTGTGCGTGAATTCATAAACGAAATCCTCAGATCTTGCATCATACGAATTCCCCTGATTAGTATAATTCTAAAAAGTGGTATTTTAATTGCGGAAGTGTTTTATTAGAGGCAGAAAACCCGAAATTCAACTTCTGGTTTCGTTCCTAATGCCGCTCCGCGCCCACGCCTCCGCCTGCAGGTGACCATGGTGCTTAATGGGGGAGTTGGGGGAAACATTGAATGTCTCGCTGAAATAAAGATCAATATTAATAGATCTATTCTTTCGTTTTGTTTTATTTCCTTAGATCGATACGGCTTCCTTGCGGCTGCTTGTAGTGGCTCCCACGCATGCAAGTGTGTCCGATCTGCATGGTGGCGCTAAACCCCCAACCCTTAAACCCTAAACCCTAGATCCTAAAGCATGAACTCTAAGCAGTAGATATTTTGCATCGGGAGTGTTTAGCCACCTCTGTGTCCCAATGCTGCTTAGCGTTTCGCCCCCACGACTCGTATATATGCAGATCTAACCCCTAAACCACCAATTAGGGTTTCTGCTCAAGTGACTGCTGAAAATACAAGATGGAGGATATCAACTCCCCAAAAGAGCCCCCCTTGGGGGCCTCGCAGGCGGCTTGCCAGGTGTGCTGCCGGCTGGGTGTTCAGAGTTTATGGTTTAGGGTTGAGTGATAGTTGTAGAGTTAAGGTTTACGCTGACGGTTCCCGCGCCCGGCAACCAGCCGAGGGGGTTAAACCCAAAGCTCTTATTGCTTAGGGTTTAGTGTTTAGGGTTTAGGGTTTAGAATTTAAACTTTAGCACTCAGCCATGAAGCGGTGGGACTTGGGGTGTAGCTTGCACGGCAAGCAGCTGATCGCTCTACAGGGGGCACCTAAACCCTCAGCTCTAAACCTTCAACCCTAAACCCTAAACCCTAAACCCCTAAACCCCCGTGCTCAAGCTCCCATGTCGGGTGAAGTCTGTCCGTGCACAGGAGGCGGCATCGCCTGCGCAAGGGGCTACCGTTGCCCGCAACTCGCCAGCAGCAGCAACAGCAACAGCAGCAACAGCAGCAACAGCAGCAGCAGCAGCAAGAGGCCATATACCTTCATACACGTTGCCACCTGGCTATCCAATGCCCCACACTTGCGTCCCTCCAACGTGTGTGCTGCTCAAACAGCTGGAGGATGCAGAAGCTGCAAAAGCAAAAGCAAAAAAGGCAGCAGCAGCAGCTGCAGCTGCTGCAGCTGCTGCAGCGCAGCAACAGCAACAGCAGCAGCAGCAGCAGCAACAAGGGCAACAAAAACCCAGTGAACAGGCCACCAGTATCCTTCGAAGCGAGAGAGCGGGAATGGCGAGTTATAACGCTGCATTTGCTGCTGCTGCTTGTGGATTTCAACACTAGTACTCTTGCTGCTGCTGCTGTCGCTGTTGCTGCTCTTGCTGCTCATGTCGTTGCTGCCATTACTACTCCGATTGCTGCTGCGGTTGTTCTGTTGTTGCTGCTGCTGTTGCTGCTGCGGTTCGTCTCTCCCCTGATGAAGATAAAGCCAGCATTGTTGTCTATGGTTCAGTTGGCAACTGCTGCTGCAGCGGACACCACTGCGCAGCAGCAAGACGAGCAGCAGCAGCAGCAGCAAGCCACTCACCTGCAGCCTTCGGAGTTCATCGACTTAGTGCTGGGACATAGATCACTAGCAGACGAGTTTTGTTACATGAACAGGTTTGCTGCTGCTGCTGCTGCTGTTGGAGCTGCCGTTCCTGCTGCTGTTGCTGCTGGTGAAGTTGAAGTTGCCGTTTCTGCTGCAGCTGCTGTTGCTGCTGCCTTTACTACTAAGACTGATCTTGCTGTTCATGTGGGGCTGCTGCCAATGCTGCATTTGAAACTGCTATAGCTACAGCTGCTGCTGTTCCTGCTGCTGCTGCTGCTGTTGTTGTTGTTCTTGCTGCCGCTGCTGTTGTGCTGCTGACTGCACCTACGGTTTCCGATTAAAAGTTAGAGCTTGCAATTCAAAATTAGGGTTTGCAATCCTGGACAAGGGTTTAGGGCTACAAATGAAGGTTTACCGTTTAAAATGCTTGCTTTTCATTCATGAATTAGGGTTTAGGGTTACGCATTAGGGTTTGGGTTTGTAAGCGCCTATATAGGAAGATGCACGAGGGTTCAGGGTTTGGAATTAGGGTTTGCCCTTTCAAGAGAATGAATTAGGGTTTAGGGTTTGGAATGAAGGTTTGCTTTTTCAAGTGTTCATAGAAAAAGATGAATTAGGGTTTAGGGTTTGGAATTAGGGTTTAGGGTTTAGGGTTTAGGGTTTTGAATGGATGTTTTCATCAGGATTGGTCCATACAGCTACGAGATTGTTCCATTTGATTCAATAAACCCTGATGATTATCTAACTTTGTCTAGCCAGGGTGTTCTGCATTATAATGGAACAAAAGGAATTGATTTCTTAACACTGCACCAATGGAAGAAAGACCAAGAAGTCTATGCTCAACTCGCTCGTGTTGCTTTCTTTAAAAATTATGCTAAGTGGAGAATCCTTGCACTTTGGAAAGCAGCAATGCGAGAACTCCGATTCAGGCAATTCAAATACCCTAAACCCTAAACCCTAAACCCTTTAAACCCTTAATGATAAGAAACAAACAACAAGGAACAGCAAACAACAAACAATAAATCCGATACAATAAATCCTTCATAACAAACCCGAAACCCTAAAAGACAAACCCTTAAAAAACAAACCCTAAGCAGCAAACCCTAGCAAACAACCCTAAACAACCCAAAGACGCTTCACTAACAAATAAACCATATCAAACCCTCATAAGCTTTTACCCTTAACCCTACCAAGCCCAAACAAACCCTCCTAGTAAACGTTAATAAACCTTAACAAGCCGTAATAAACCCTGATAAACCCTAAGCCCCAGCAAACCCCAATAAACCCTAATAAACCCTCACTGGTGTGTAGCTTTTGACGGTGTGTTTATTTGGTTTAGAAAGATGCGAATATGAATACTGGATTGATGTTTGAGGGTTTGCGTTTGTTTTTTCTTGTTATTCTTTAGAACTTGTGCAGAGGTGCTCGAGAAAAACCTCTTCTCAGTTAATCATGTCTTAGGGCCTTCACTATGCTCTGTTCGATCTCTAGCAATGAAAATAACAAATTGGGAGGTTGTAGCTAACATTGGAGATTCTGTTGTCTCTCTCCAACAACTTGAAGAACTACAAAAAAGCAAACAACAGCAATTCGCAGCAGGCCTCCAACGCCTCTGGTCCGCCGTTGTAGCAGAGGTATCCAAAGGGTTTAGGGTTTAGGGTTTAGGGTTTAGGGTTTAGGGTTTAGTAGGGTCTACGGGCTAGGGTCTGTCATTTAAGGTTCGAACTTGATTTTTTGGCTTAGGTGTAGAGGTGGGGGCATAGCGTCGCGCATAAAGACTTTCATGTTTAGGGTTTAGGGTTTAGGGTTTAGGGTTTAGGGTTTAGGGTTTGCAATTGGGCATTCAGATTCAAAAGGCGTGTGCCAGCTCTCTCCAAGACTTCCTGCAGAGCAGCGGATTTGCACACAATCAAATAGGCGACGAACTGCAACAGCCAGGCAAACCCTAAACCCTAAATCCTAAACCCTAAACCCTAATTTCTTCAAATAAACCCTAAGCCTATGATGTCAACCACTCCCATTTTGCAGCATCTTATCGGGGACAGCAATTATCTTTGAGCTGTTCCTGCTTCTGAGCGGTTTAGTGTTTAGGGTTTAGGGTTTGTGGTTTGTGCAGTTCGTGGTTTTCACGGGGTACCAAGCCTGGGGGCTCTGGGGCCCCCAAGGGGGGCCCCTCAAGGGGGTTTATCTGTTTCTTATACAGAGAAAGCAACAACCCGCATGCAATGCAGAAGGCTTATTCGTTTTATTAGGGTTTGTCAGTATATCTTTGAATCTGCACTTATTGATTTCGCGAGGAACTCCACCCAAAGACTCATTGATGGGCTCGTAAGCTATATTAGGGTTTAGGGTTTATTAGGGTTTATTAGGGTTTAGCAGGGGTTTTATTAGGGTTTACTAGGGATTATTACTGGTTAGGGTTTAGGGACTAAGGATTACGCTGTGGAGCTTAGAGTATAGGGTTTAGGGTTTAGGATTCCGGGTTTAGGGTTTAGGGTTTAGGGTTTAGGGTTTAGGGTTTTGAGAGAATAAATGGTGCCTCAGGCTTCGTTTGAAAAGCTGGCAAATGATGGGGAGGGCTCGCAGCAGCAGCAGCAGCAGCAGCAACAGCAGCAGCGGAAGCCGCAGCAGCAGCAGCGCCGTTTGCAGCAGAATACACGGAAGCTTGGAGATGCGCGCGGCCGCAGCGGAGCAGCAGCAGCAGCAACAGCAGCAGCAGCAGGAGCTCTGCCCTGCAGCAAACCCTTGCTGATGGTACAGCTGGAGCTCAGTCGCAGCGGCGTCTCTCTGTCTCCTCAAAAGTGCGGAGTCTTTAATAATAATATTTTGCTTCTAATGACTATTAACACACTGTAATATATATATATATATATATACATATATAGATATATATATATATATGTATATATATTCTTTATTCAAGTATATATATGTTTATTTTGGGTTCTATTTATGTTTATATGTATAGGTATGCATATATATATATATATTTGTAAGCACATATATATACATATTTGTAAATATATATATATATATAATATATATATATATTATATATTTGTATTGTATATGTGTGTATGAATATATATTGTTAGAGGTGCACCAGTTGTAGTCCAGCTGTCCTTTATTATTATTAATATTATTATTATTATTATTAATATTTATATTACTATTATTATTATTAATATTAATATTATTATTATTATTTTGCTGAGGACAGCCTATGCATGCAAACGCATGCAGAGATCAACAGACAGTAACACTAACTATCACACATAAATAAATATATTTATTTTTCTGTTTATTTATCTCTCTCATATGCAGCGATGTATCGTTCTATATATCTATTGTTATATATTTATATCTATGGTCCTGTTGTATATATATATATATACATGTATATCAATATATGTATATTTGTATATATATATATATATGCATATATTTATTTACAAAAATATAAATAGACATTCAGGGTAATTGTTTAATGCTGCTGCTGCTGCTGCGGCAGCATCTCTGCTGTTTGCTTCCACCGCTTTGGCTTGCATCTGCTGAGAGCTGCTGGTGTTGCTGCTGCTGGGGTTTCTGCTGCTGCTATTACTTCTGCTGCTATTCTTGCTGCTGCTGTTGCTGTTGTTGCTGCTGCTGTTGATGCTTTTCCTGTGAGGAGTTGCTGCTGCAACACCCCACAGCAGCAGCAGCAACAGCAATAGACAGAAAACACGAAAAGGAGTTACAGACAGAGAAAAGCAAAAGGAGATGATTGGAGAATATAATAATAACTCGGGGAGGAGATACACCAGAAAAGATAAAATACCCTAAACCCTAAACCCTAAACCCTAAACCCTAGAAAGGCTGTTGCTGCAACTCTTCTCAGGTCTGCATTTGTGGAGTTTTTTCGCGGTGTTCTTAATGAGACATATTCTGTCCTTTCTTCGACCCCTTCTTTTGTTACTGCTGATGAAATGGCGGCATTTACAACCCCTCTTACGGGCTTTGGTAAACCCTAAACCCTAAACCCTAAACCCTAAACCCTGAGGCGTTTTCAGAGTCTGGGGAGAGGGGCTTACTGCTGCTGCTGCTGCTGCTGCGGTGATCGTCCCGCAGTTAGAACACGGTGTTTGAGGGTTTAGGATTTTGTGCGCTGGGGCTGCAAGCTTTGCATGGCGTAGGGTCTAGGGTTTAGGGTTTAGGGTTTAATTAGGGTTTGTTGCATTAGATTCCATTGGAGAGGAAGCGACGTGCCGCTCTTTTCCTGCTTTCTTTCAAAATGAAGAATCTTCTTTGCACCAATTAAACCGCCAAACCCTCAAACTTGTGGATATCCTTTTCGATAGAGTCAGCGCAGCTGCAGAGGGCTTCACGGTAAGCCAAACCCTAAACCCTAAACCCTAAACCCTAAACCCTAAACCCTAAGCTTTGAGCAGTAGGGTGTAGGGTTTAGGTGCCTATCGAAAAAGAACGGAAGGAGAGAAAGCGCCAAGTCGCACAACGAGAAGACAGAGATGCCCCTGCAGTTCTTAACGAATATCCGCAAGGGTTTAGGGTTTAGGGTTTAGGGTTTAGGGTTTCAGGTAAACTGCGCTTGCAGAAATATGTTGAGGTCTACAACAGCAGCGAAAGCCTCTCAACGGCAGCCCTGGAGAAGATGGAAGTCAGCGACTTTGAGTGCGTAGACCCCCAAACCCTAACTCATAAACCCTAAACCCTAAACCCTAAACCCTAAAGTCATCGACTTCGAGTGTGCCAACCCCCGAACCCTAACTCCAAACTCAAACCCTAAACCATAAACCCTAAAGGCAGCGACGTTGAGGGCGTGAACTTCCAGACCCTAACTCCCCACGCATAAACCCTAAACCCTAAACCCTAGCGCCCGACGCACAAGCCCTTATCCCTTATAAACAAGCCGTAGCTCCCAACGCAAGACCCTAAACCCTCAACTCTAACCCCTAAACCCTCGACGGAGGCAGGCGTGATGTGGGGTGTACGTACAGCCAGACGCTAAGCAACTGGCAGAGAGACGCAGATGATGTTTCTTCTTTATCACCTCAACTGGGCAGGGGTTTGTTCTGTTTGGATATATCAAAACTACAAAAAACCCTTTTGCCTTCTCTCAAGCGTTCTATGGGGGCTATACAAGCTTACTTGCCACAGGCGGGGACCTATGCACCGCAAACCCTAAACCCTAAACCCTAAACCCTAAACCCTAGACCCTCCATGCTCCTACATGCAGCCCATTCAACCTCTGCACCCACTAACACCTCAAACCCTAAGCCCTAAACCCTAAATCCTAAACCTACACTCTTCAGCAGTATCTAATATCAGTGTATCTGCATTTGAGTAAGCTTTGAGAGAAGATCTTGCGAGCGGTGCACTCACTCCTTTCTAGGGTTTAGGGTTTAGGGTTTAGGGGGTTATAGGGTTTGTGCCTCAGTTGGCGAATAGCAGCATGACAAAACTCCTCCAAGAAATCTCCTCTGTAAATGCAAAGCTTGCAGTTGTGCCTCAAGATATCAACGCCGTGAGGCGCAGGTCTAGGGTTTAGGGTTTAGGGTTTAGGGTTTAGGGCTGATCTTCGGTGTCATTTGAATGCCACCGTGATCGAATTCAATGCTCTGTTTCGTTTCTGCATTTGGCTTTTCATAGTCTGTTCACAGAGGAACCATCCTAGGGTTTAGGGTTTAGGGTTTAGGGTTTAGGGTAACTGCGTGCGTTTGTGTCAGTACGTCGACTTCAACTGCTTTCTGGCGGAAACACAAAAAACAAAACTACCTGAAATTGAAGCAAATGCACTTAGGGTTTCTGGGGTCTTAGATATATTAAAAAGGGTTTCGCTAAGAATAGATGCAACAACTAAAACCCTCTTTGCAGAGTTGTCTCAGGGACTCGCAGGACTCCGGTACACACCAAACCCTAAACCCTAAACCCTAAACCCTAAACCCTAAACCCTAAACCC